TGTTGCGAGCCGACATGTTAAATAAATATGCATATCGAAACAAAGAGGCGCATAATGATTTGGGTGATGAACGCAAATGAAATAATATCATAAAAGTGATGATTAAATAACAAAAATTTTACAATATCGAATAAATTACATATTTTTAAAGTTAGAAACTTCTATAGCCCATTTTTTTCTTTTTCCTCATCCATTTATGATACAATTATACTACGTTAACATAGCAAAATAATCAAACGTGTCGTTTGACTGAGGTGACCATTAGTGTGTCATAATATCTTTAAGATAGATTCAATCTGGCAGATTACCAGTTCTTAAATGCGTTGCCATTCAGCAAACTATTCAGTTATTTAATTCATCCTTAATATACTGTTAAAGGAATTGATTGATTCAAAATTGATTGATTCATTCAGTTGATTGAAAATACGAATTTTTTAATAATTCGTATTTTTCTTTTATTTTAAATAAGAGTCTGATTGGTAACGATTAGCATAAAATGATAAATTTTATGAATTTTGGGTATATTTTATCATTTAATCTATATAATTTTGCTGTATATATTTTATTAGCTATTTGTTACAAAAGGTATTTCTTCCGCCTTCTTCGCATGAATTCGTGGTATGGTGGTCTGCACGCTAGGCGCGTATTCCATAGGTCCGCCGTTCGATTCCCGGAGAAGACGTTGCAAAGTTTTCATCTCTCGTGCTTCCAAAAAATACCTAATGTCTCTACAGTTGATCACAATAACAATATATAAGTTATATATATATATATGTTTGTTATTGTGAACATTTGCACCAGTATTAGGATTAATAAAATGTGTTTCTAATGTCATATATTATGTGTTTGATCTCAGAATGAACATTTCTGCACCGCATTACAAAGAATTAGTTGCATCTCTTTCTTTCTTTGTTTCTTTTTTTTTTAACATATTATTAAACAAATCTGCAACATGTTACATTGCTGTAGTCTGCCATTTGAAATCTAACTAGTTTAATTCTTTGTCAGAATATTTTGATCTCGCCAAAGAAGTTATCAAGTGCAAACCGACCAAAGCAAAAAGGCATTTACTAAATATTTTATTTGAAATGCTATTTTATTTGTGCAAGAATAAGAACAATTTATTAAATGCAAAATACACTGTTGCAATTTAATGAAATTTAATGACAGTGGCTGTTTGTGGATTCAGTTTCAGCATTGTCAAAATAAATTGGAAAATGGCATTAAAGCACATAAATTAGCGGTAAACAATACGTTAGTTTTAAACGCTCAAATGTTTGTTTCTGGAATTTCTTTCAACCATCAAAATATTATCGAAAAGTACATATTGTTTTCATGTGGATAATTTTGTTAAAGTTAGCTATGCACCTTTATATTGATTCGGAAAATAAATGAAACATCGTATGCTACGTAAACTAACAACAGACGTTTTCTTCCCCTTGTCCTAAATGGATTACGAATTAGCTAAGCCCAAAAGGCGTGTGGGAGACCCCCATAATTACCTTGTTTTTTCTATAATAGTGTTTTATGTACTACAGAATTACGCATCTGTTTGTCTTTCTAAGAAATGAGGTATTCAGCTAGGTTTATCCATAATCCAAGTAAAATTGTAAAAAATTCAAGTAAAGTAGTAAAAAAAAAAAGAGCAAACCAAATTCATAGTCAGCCATTCTTGCTTTCTCTAGAAGGTTAGACAGATGAGAATATATCTATGCCCACGTATCTAGACGAAAGTACCTTGCATAGTGGTCATTTCGAGGTCACTGTTGTGCTTGGCAGTATGTCAAGTTCATCCTTCAAGGTCCGAACCTCGAAGAAAGATTCAGAGCGAAAGAGGTGGGGGATGTCTGTCAAATTTCTTTGTCTGGTTGAATAAAACGTGAAGTTTGATTTGAAAAAGATTTTATGCGATGTAAATGACCTCAGCCAGCAACATTAAATTCTGTTCTAGTGATCTCTTTATACAGCCTTCAGTTCAATTGGTACATAAAAAGGGTAACTAGCTTTCTGTGATACTAGCGTACAAAGGCTTGCTGTAATAATGAAACTTTAAAGTATTACATTTTTATTTTAAAAATAGCGTTACTTTTCTTATTCTATCAACATTTAATTGATAAAGTAACAAGGGACTGATAAATCATCATATTCTGAGCGATTCTATAACAGACAAATGTCTTATTTTCGCTAACCAACTGATTAAAATATATTGCATTTTCCAGTTATGTGTTAGTCCTTTAAATATTCCCATTTAATCGGAATTTTTTGGTTCTAGATTTTTTTATTAATTATTGGCAAATCATGTTACTTTGCATCATTTGTTCTGAAAAAGCAAAAACACAATTCAGTGTATAATCTCACAGATTTGGTAAAAAAATTACTGATTTAAAAATAGTAAAATAACTCTGCACTTCGCGTCAAATTAAGTTTTATTCATCGCTAATTGCTGAATTTATTTCAGCTGTTTTTATTGATAAAATCATTATCGCACGACTCTCTGTTATCAAAATACTTCCTTGCAAGAGTTATTATTCCTAGTTTATCATGTTTATTAATACATCCATTAAAATTTACTTCACTAAATTAACTACGTTCTCTTTCAAATAACAAACTGAAATTTTAAAAAAAATTGCTATTCGGAAACTTCGTTTTACAGTCTAACTGCTTGAAGTGTTTAAAGTTGTAGTTTCTAAAAGTTAAAAAATATTGAAAAATTAAAAGTATAAAAATGGTACTATTATTGTGCATGCGCATAAGGCTTGCAACAAATATTTCCTTCCCGTAAAATTAATTTTTCTATTTTGTCAAGACACGAAATCCGCGAACTGAAAGTTATAAGCTGGAATAGGTTTCCAATAGAAGTTATAAGCTGGAAGTTATAAGCTGGAATAGGTTTCCATAGAAGTTATAAGCTGGAATAAGCTAGAAGTTATAAGCTGGAATAGGTTTCCATAGAATTATAAGCTGGAAGTTATAAGCTGGAATAGGTTTCCATAGAAGTGTGTAAAAACTATATTACTTTCCCCGAAGAATTTTCTTGGGGACTGTAGGAATTTCGTTAGAAAGTAGACTAGAAATCAATAAAGAATTATTGATTTTTGAACGCATTACTCGTCATTTTATTTCCCGCCATGATTCACTAAAAGAGGTATTGCGCTTAAGAATAAAACACTATAAGCAATTGCATAGAGCATGTTGAAAGGTATTGATTCCCACATTTTCATTGCGGGGAAAAAAGTATAGAAGTTCCTTTTGCTAGTTAGTTAAAAGTATACCTAGAACTACTATTTGACCTCTTTTTCATTTTAGAAATATAACTCCGACTTCTTTGTTATGGATCTGTATTCTAGCTAAAATGTCAAATATAATCCCCCCTCAAGATATTAATGCCGTTATCTCGCTTGTTTACTCGAGAACAGCGCCGATTAAAACCAGAAATTCTTGAAATGTTAAAGAAAAGCGTGTCTTGCTTGCAAATACGTTTTGGTCCTCAAAATATTGTTGGCATATGATGTTATATTTTCCAAAAAGAAATTTTAAGCGAGAAAAAAAAAGATGTATGTGTTTTTGTTCTTTTCTACTAGCAGAAAACGGATCGAAGGTATTAGTAGGCTGAAATACTAACTTGAAAAACGTAACGATTTCGTACAAAAGTACGTAATGAAAGTCTTTAGAAACATATTTTTCTAATTAAAGCAATCTTAATATATTCAGAAAAAATATGAATTGAATATATGGTATAAATTTAGTCTAGTCTAACTGATATGACCTAGATATACTATTGAAAGTATAAGGTATTTTAAATTATAACTAGCCGAAAGGAGCAATTTGCCCAGAAGAGCTGCTAGTTTCGTTTTGACATTTTGCATGGTTCACTGTAAAACAGCATTTCACTTTTCAAACTGTTGCCACAAATATTAGCATTATATTTAAAGAAATTAAAGAATTGAGAATTTACATGAATGTATGTATATTTCTCGCTTTGTGAAGAAACAACGGTACCTAGAGATATCAAGTTTTGAATAACATAATCCTCCACTCGAATGTGGGCATTTGGAAGCCCAAATTTGGAATTTAGAATTTTTTTTATTATCTATTTCCTATTTTCTAAACCTTTAACGAATTTTTGATTAACAAACTCAACGATTTCAAAGCTAGGAATGGCAACACTGTACGGGGAAAAATTATCTCCAGCGCACGACACTGTGTATCGGAAATTCTTAAGAAAATCGGAAATTCTCTTTTTAAACATTTTGTGCTATTGCTGCTGAATTGAATTTATGGTTAAGTGCTAAGAACAGGATATTTAATAAATAAAGATAACGCACAAAATGTTAAAAAAAACACCCCTATCCCTACTAGTGTAAAATTTGACAGCTTTCATATTTTTACCTTTTTCTTACAATTTTACCCCCTCAAAACACTTAGTTTCTTAAGCAGTAGCACACTGATTAAACTTGAAAGAAAAATTAAGGCTCTTATACATTCTCGAAAGTAAAAAAAAATTAAGAATTAGAAAACATTTCCCCAAAGAATACTGTCTTATATGTAGTCCAACACTGTGCTAACAACCTAATGTTGACTGAACATCTCACCGATAGTATAAAGACTCGACTGGCGCATGTATAGCGTTAGGTGTATCTTTTATAGAAGCTTTCTAAATTTTTAGTTGTTGCATTACATTATACAACCATGCTACACTTTTATTTATCATCCAAATGATAAGGCAGAAGTTGCCACTTTAAGAGACTTAAATTTTTATTTTGCTTTAAATCTTAGCTTTGAAAATGCAATAAAATAGTTAAATTTTTAAAATTTTAAATACAGCTTCAGCATTTTCAGCAACATTTTTTTTTAGTTTCCTGCTAAACTTGTTCTTCTTACTTTGTCTTACTGAGGGTCAAAATGCAGGACTTCTAATTACTGCGATTCCTCATTCCGAGTATTTTCCGAACATACCCGAATATAAGTGTTTCAAATACTTTTAAAGAATAAATACTTACCTAAAAATGTCTCCGTACTTTCTGCTCAAGTTTCTCAAAGTTATCTGCGGTTTTTTCCCCAGAAAAGGTGCGTAACCTACAATGGGTAGTCCTATCGGTCCAGGGGGGTAACTACAACGCTTCAGCCATTTGGAGATGATGTAACAAATTAAGAGGCTGAGAGCAAAAACAGAGAGGATCTTAGTAGCTTCGGAGCATAAACCGACCGCCATTGTTGAAAGGCGCAGCGAATTATCATACAACAGACAAAGGCCTACTGCTGAGAAAAGATACTGCTATCTTTTCAGGGCCAGATGAAAGCACGATACGCGAATAAATTCCGAAGTACTACTCATAGAATAATGTGTGGGACGCTAGAATTTTATTTCGGGAGACCACTCATTTGTAGTAGGAAGAGTTTCCTACTGATACGGAAATGATATCTGTTTTATTTTTCTTTTCATATCTTCATTTTCTAACAAGTCAGTTATCTTTCCCTTAAATATCTAAATGTTTTATATCGGGAAAATGAGATTTGCGACGTTATTTTACTCTTTTAGTTAATTTTGTAAATTTGTATAATGTGAGACCTTGGCTTCAAAACCAGCATAGTCATTCTAAAAGCAAAAATTCGCAGAATGAGACTAACATGGCTTGAAAAAGCTAAATTTTAGTATCCGTTTATTATTCATAAATATTAGAGAATATGTATGCAATATAATAATATTGATTCAATCATTTCTTTTTAACGTCTCCCACTTTAAATTAACTCAGTTATAGTTAATGTGGAGGTAAGTTATTGTGAGATAATAGTATAAAGTTAAATTTAATTTAATAGAAATATAAAGTTAAATTTAAATGTAGGATACTCTTATATTCATAGCTGTTGTCACTATCGGAACCTGTTGAATTAGTGAAAGAAATTGTTCATGTAAATGACGAAATGTTTTTCTTACTTAGGCTAGATATTTGAAGCAGTAAATTGTACTACCAAATAAATAAGAAAGGTAAAAGTCTGATTAGGCTAACACATGACCTTTCTCCAATTACATGTTTTAAACAGCAACGAGAATATAACTTTCAGCTGATCGTTTGTAAATAAAAACCTAACTAGTTTGGTAAAAGCTTTATGGCTCAATGTGAAGTATACACGCTACTCATTTTTATTATTCTATTCTCCCATCCAATGGAAAATGATAACAATACGTCCTTATGTTCCGTTCTCATGCTTTGAAAATATCGCATCGATCGTAGTGTATCCATCCTCCACTCATACAGCGTTTCGAATTCACTAATCAATGCTTAAACAATTGCAAAATTTTTAAAAACAGCTGAACTTTACAATTCTCGATAGAATGCTAAGTGTTGTCATACATACTTTTTTTAAAGCGGCTTACCTTTAGAATTTCCGATTAGAATGTTAAGTGTTGGCACACGGTCTTTTATTCCAGATTTTATGACTGAAATTCTTTTTCAGTCACACAGTCAACATTTTTTATTATTTTGTCACTGATACATGTATTTTTTTCAGATTTCATAATATCAATGCCCACTTTTCTTAATAAGATCACCAATATTTTTATTCATCATTTTAACTTTATTTGATAATTATTATTATTTAATTAATTTTATTAATCGCCAAATCCTGGTGGATGATGATTCTCCACCACCAGGATTTGGCGATTGGGTCCCCTAATCCGCAATCGCAGTTTAAAAGGGGGAGTATATAAAAGTATTTACCCCTCCCTTTTTGCATGCCTTCATGGTGTAGTGGTCAGCACAATCGGCGCGTATTCGAGAGGTACGTGGTTCGAGTCCCGGCGAAGGCGTTATTCATTTTTCATGTCTCCTGTGTCTCTACAGTGGCAATGTCCTACAGTAACCTAATGTCTCTACAGTGGCACTCGAACTAAAAAAGGTGGTGGATGATGATTCTCCACCACCAGGATTTGGCGACTGGATTCCCTAATCCACAGTCACCCTTTATAAGGGGTAGTATATAAAGTATTTCTCCCACCTTCTTAGCATGCCTTCGTGGTGTAGTGGTCAGCACACTCGGCGCGTATTCGAGAGGTCCACAGTTCGAGTCCCGGGGAGGACATTGCTCATTTTATATCTCTCCTGCTCTCAAAAAATACCTAATGTCTCTACAATATAAATAAAACAGATAAATTCGATGTTCGTGAAAATAATAGAAAATTCTGCTATGCCGATAAAATCATGAATGCCTTACCGATGAAAATCATGCATTAAAAAGACATAAAGTTAAACAAGCATTGGTTTTAGACTGAAAATAATTTATGTATTTATATACAAAAATTAAAGAAACCCAAGATTCTGATATTACTGCTTAAATATCTTGTTAGTAACTTAATACAGTTTTTCACAAACGTTTTTTCTAAAGGGATTCGTGAAATATTGATGTTAAATATATCTGCAATCGAGTGTTTCAGTTCTTCAACACTCTGTTACACTTGTTACCTTAATGCACGCAAGTGTTTTGCGCCCAGACAGTTGCTTATTCATGCTAAATAAAAATATATTAATAATATAAATAAATAAAACAACCTATTGATAAAAATTGCTTTCTTGTATAGGAAGATTAGAGAAAAGAGTGCATTTTTTCTTTCAGATATGCATTGCCTTGTGAAACAGAAACGATTGGTGTCCGTATGATTAAATCTAGAAATAGAATAATACAGGGAACGAGACTGCAACAGCAAACAAAGCATTTATTAAATTTAACAATAAGGTAACGTAAAATAAAAGGGACAAAAGTGGTAATGGTCCGCAGCTCCGTGTGATGTACAGTAAAACCAGTACTGGAATTTCTGAAACAGTAGTAATACAACGATAACAGCTTAGGTGTTTATTATAAAAGCAAGCAGCGTAACCACGCAGCCTGGAATGAGCTGCAACGAGGAATCCACACAGGCGGCACTTCACTATCAGGTTCAAGTCCCAAGCGACGTTCCACCATCACTCCCATTCTCAAGAATCGCATTGTTGATCCTTTAGGCAACAGAATGACTTCTTTACAGGCCGCTAAAATACGGTGTGAGAAGTTCGAATTTAAGCCGCACGGACAAACCCATCTGAGTCTGGATATACCTTCCCAATGGCCATGTAGCCGGAGAAGTTTCAACTTTTAATAGAACGATGTCACCAACTAACAGATTCGGTCGATCTCTTGTCCATTTTGATCTAGACAGCAAGGTATGTAGGTATTCACAGCGCCATCTGTTTTAAAATCCTTGCTTTATTTCTTGCAGCAGATTCTCACCTGCAACGAAGGTTTCGAAGACTGATACAGATAGATTCGGGAACACCCGTAATAGTTTCTCCTGCAAGGAAATGAGATGGAGTTGTATCTAAACTTGATATATCTGTAGAAATACCCGAAATAGTATCCGAAGAGGTCTAGAATTTAAAATAATTTAAAATAAGCTCTACTTCTACAAGTAAATAACCAACTCTTCAAATGTGAGCACAGTCTCTCCTAACGCTCTTCTGAGATGAGTCTTTATGCTTTTAATTCCACTTTTCCATAAACCACTGAAGTCTAGAGAGGCAGGAAGAATCCTATACCATACCCTTAAAGCTGTTTCTACTTCTCATGCAATTTTCTTCAAACACCGCTCTCAAGCGGCACTCCACTATCAGATATAGCTCCCATGCTACCCTCCACCAATTGAAAATGGGCAAAATTGCCTACTGAAGCAGCGGATATGATAAATAGTTTCACAAATATACATACTATGCACAAATATATAAAAGACTATATTTTTACCATTTTATTATAAGTGACCAGAAATATGGTTAATTATCCAGTGAGCTGCAAACGGCTTAACCGCTCATGCTAACTATTCTTCGAATTATTTTGTATTAGAGACTAAATGCGTACTATTGAGCTCCACAGTGTTAATTATCCCCACAAATCCATTAAATTAAAAGTTCTCGTACCTGTGTCTAATCGATTAGCAAAAGGTGTTTAATTTATCTTTCCTAGAGTCGGCAATTCTAAGATTGTTAATTATGTCGAGGAAGACGTTTTTTAATTAATCTCTTAAACAATAAAAATGCATTGCATATAGTGCCAAAATATCATTGATTTAAACAATATAAAAATTCCTTTAAAATTTTTGCCTTTCTTTCATTTTTAATAATACGATATCCGTTTGCTATATAAGTAAAGCGCAGGAAGGCTTTGGTTTGTCGAAAACCGTCGAGACAAGCCTAATGGCTAGAAGCATTCAACGCCACAGTATCAAATCGCTATTTAATCACGATAGCAACGTGGTCTCAAGCAGGCGGAACAAAATTCTGAAATTATAACAAAACGTGAACATATTGAGCAGTTTCGTAATGTAACAAAATCCTATAGCGAATTGAAGCTAAATAATTTATTTATATAATAACTACAATTCTCTTTATTGCAACTGTTATATTCAATCAAATCGATGAAGTTCGAACAGCTTAATATTGTCATGTTTGAAAAGTTATTGAAATATAATAGTTATTAGAAATTCACATTAATAACAGTATAAAATGCCATTTAGATTAATATATCTCCAAGAAAATTATTTTCCGAATCTTTTGCAAAACGAAAACACAAGTTTGAATTTCAGATCTTTTGATGAACGCTCGTAGAATAATTACAGGTAGTTCTCGACTTACAATAATTCGCTTTTACGACGGCCAAGCACGAAGATTAAAAATCCTCTAATTTAATTTTACCGTCAGCATATACATACTCGTACTATTTTTTATTCGCAATAAATCATCTAAATGAGTAATTGACACGAATACTTTAATTTCTCTTCTTCTAACAGCATTAGTATTTTAGTACATTACTTACTGATTCTTCTGCTACACTGAGGACTGAAGATGGAATTTTTATAAATCAGCCTTGCAGGCCGTTATTTTTGCATATTCGCCTTATGTTTTGTACTCGCAGTTGCCCTTGTTGGGAGTTCTTTAAAATGATAGTTATTGCACAACAAAGTTTTTCCCTGAAACTAGAATAACGTAAAGTCAGTAACAATTACTCAATTTATATTTTTAATTAAAGACATTGTTTATATATTTGTTAACTAGTTTAAAGGAAGAGTATGGTCAATTTTATAAAATAGGTATGTAGCGCATATGTATATGTATACAGATAAATCGTTTATAAATGTTACATAAATTTACACATTCTTAAACTCATTTTGTAATAAATAAAAACTGCTTTATTTATAGAAATATAACCAAAATTAAAACAGGTCTCCATTTGCTTGAGAATCGAATTGTAACGGGACCGCTGGAAAGGTATTTGTCGTTAAGTCGAGAACTGCTTGCATACACAATGTAAGATGACCATATCACTGTCCATATAAAAGGGTGAAATAGTTTGTAAAAAAAATTATATTCCGCTGTTTCCCTAGTGAAACTTGCATGTCTAGTATCGAAATTAGGTCAAATTGGGCCAAGGGTTTTGGGGTGGGGTGATTGACAACTAATTTCGGTCTTTGCAGAATGGCGGTAATCTCGGTGGAAGAAGTTCAGAGAAATTCGATGGTAAGAGAATCTCACTTTTTTAAGCAATTCTGAAAGTAAAAATATAAATTTGTTACAATTATTGATTTACCAAATAGGTTGGACATTTATATGAAATGAAATTTCTGGCAATTTAATGTTACTTTTCGAAGCCATTGTATTTTGATTATTATATTTTTGTTTATTTACTTCCAAATAATTATCTATAAATAGTGGAAAGTTGTTTATTATTTGAAGTTAAGGTATTAAATTTAAACGAAAAAAGCAGTTATTAGCAGGCAAATTTTAACGTTAATTAAAAAATAATAATATCCTATAAGTAATTTTTTAATTTAGGTGAGGGAATTTTTTAAATATTTATGAGTAATTTTCAAATTTTGACAAATAAATATTTGTACATTTGCATATAATTTTTAGCGTTAAATAAAAAAGCAGCTTTATGAATAGATTTTTGTTTGAACGGAAGAACAGCCTTTATTACTTAAAGAGAATTTTTAAAGCTAAAAGAAAGAACAACTGTCTAGCATTTGGAAAGCACTTTCTGAATTAATTATGAAAATAAACTGTATAATAAAATTGCGTATAAGACATGACATCTGCTTTAATACGATACACTTCGCTCATTTATTCTTCCGTGTTTATTAAAAATATTACTTTAACTATTAATCATATAAAAATTGAGAATGTTTGAACCATTTGTAAATTTGTGAAAATGTATCTGGAAAATTAAACTGCTGATATTTCAGTTATGCGTGTATTAATATAGTAAGAGAAAATAATACAAGAACAAAAGAGAGAGGTCAAAATACGTAGTAAGCGGAGTTTTCCCTTGAAAATGCAAGTAGAAACGGAGTAATTTGCATAAAAGGAATAAGTGAGTTGTTGCGAGAATTTTGGGGGTTAAACGGGTAGTGATTGCGAGTGTAATAGGTAGCCTCGGTGATAACTGTTTATTCAAAGGTAGCCAATTTCTTTTATTGACGTCCTCGGGAGTTAGATATTGAATATTGTATTAAGTTTGTAATTAGTATTACTAGTCTCCATAAATTATACAGAAAATGTAAGTTACGGAAAAGAAATCTTATTTTTCAAATAAGTCCAAGTAAAATAGTGATGCCATTTTTCAAAGATTCCATCCTATTTTTAATCATAATTTATTTTAGGGAATTCAAAAGTATATCAAGAATATGGACCAGAAAAAATAAATTATTTTACGCGTTACTAGAATGCTACATAATAATTTCCGAACTATTGAAATGACATAAGTTAGGGATTAAAAAAAGAAGTTCGGCTGATGAAGAATTTGAGGTTGTGCAAGAGATTATAACAACTGAGAAGCGAGTACAAATTGCAAAAAAATTATACGATCTTAATTCGGCTGTATTTATTGATAAATCAGTTCCCTTTTTATCAATATCACCAGAAATAAGGATTTTTAAAGAAGCGTAATATTGTTCAATAATGCAGATTAGTAAGAGACGACTCTATTTTAGCACTCTAACATTGGGAAAAATCGCAAGAATAACCAATCTCCCATCACTGCTTAACAAAAAGTAATTATTTCAGTTATCTCTCACGATGCACATTATATCGTATTTATTTAAAGTGAATCTCCCGTTAATCACAGTAACTATGAAAGCTAGAAGTCGAGAAACCCAAGAGATGTATAACACTGAGAGACATATTAGAAGTAGCGATTCAGATCTAATGCTAATTTTTTGCGATTTTTAGCTTTTATTTCGGAATCAGTACTCACATTCATTTGAAACGAGAACTTCAATTATTTGATGCATATGCACACTGAGTTTTCAAATCGTGGAGAGGGTGGTGGAATGGAGGGAGCAAAGGGTTTATTTCTACTTATTTATACTAATACTATTTATATTTATACTGACATGAAAGTATAATAATTTATACATTGGTGTAAAAAAGGTAAAATACGTTTAGGTGTGTTTACGGTCTTAGGTGTTAACGGTCTTAGGTGTTTACCATGGTTCTACGTCTTACATGTATCATTTAGTAATAATCAATCAAAATAGTAAATATAACTGAGAATCCTTTGATAATCGAGAATTATACTGATACAGTCAAGTGAAATATGAGAAGTATTGAAAGTATGCCAAATTCGTGTGTCGTATTTCATTTCACCAAAAGAGGCCAGCATTGTGAAATCATTAATGCATTATCCTTATCCCTATGTTTTACAGCTGCGGATTTAACACGCTTTTCAGCTGTGATGGGTTCATGAAAAATTTTCGAAAGATACACAGTCTGATTACGAGAAGACGTGCTATATTACTTTTCAATTTATCCAGTATTATGTTTCATTGCGTTTAGAAAATCAAGTTAAATAATTAATAGTTGATTACTACTAATTCACCATAAAATGACTTATTAACTATCAGATATTTTATTATCAACATTTATGTAATAAATTATTAATTAATGATTAAATTATTCACGTTACATATTAAAAAAACTGAGCATGTGTTAAAATTACTGTAAAACCTTTTAATGCTTAAAAAGTTTTTCAAATTACATACGACTCGTATTTCATTAAAATGAAATTAAATTATGTAGAATTTCTTGTTTTTAATGCATTTGTTGCAATATATGATATAAGTAGTTGATGAAGTAAATCGAATTTCTTACTTCGCATTTAATATTTTCTAAATTAAAACAAAATTTACAACTATACAGATTTTACCATTTTTATTACTCAATCAAAACTAAGGGGGAAAAACAGGTTTTTGAAAATTATAATAAAACTATACGACGGATTGTAGAAAGGATTCGGATCTATTATCATCAGAAATTATTATTATCATTAGTTTCTATTATCATCAGAAAAATCGTCTATGTTCTTTTTGACTGCTTATTGAATGAAGTAATGAACTAGTCTGCATTAAATGTATGAAACTAATCATCGTTCTGTGATTAAAATTTTGACTAAAGAAAGTCTTAATCATAAGAAATAAAACAATACTTGGTTTATGTATAAGGTATTTTATGTTTATTAACGAATTATGATTAAATATCGTTACTACAACGTCTCCTTTTCATAACCTTCACCAAGATTAGATTGAAAAGTATTTAAATCGAAGATTTTGAATTTTTAGAGCTTTTGGCAGTGACGCCTGCAGTTTATATTTAATCGCTCTGCTTTGCCAGTAATATTCCGGTTTTAGCCATTCTGCTAGCCGACGTCAATATGCGTCATTTAAAGTCTTGAGCAAGCTTAAGTAGATCAGTTTCTATAGAATCCGACTACAGTTTTCTAATCTGAAATTTCAAGTTTGTTATTTTAAGCTATGGAGTTTATTTGTGAGTACAAGTTGCGCTTGCTGCATTTGAAGAGTTAATAAAATAATTATTCAAACCTTCTTAAGACTTTATTCATAATAATTCAGACGGTTAATTCGCTTGTGAGTCTAATGGAGTATAAAGGAGTATAATATTTGTACCCTATATATGTGTATGCTGATTCGGTTGCTTCCTGTTTTATAGTGAAAATAACGGATAAAACAATTTCGCATGTGTCGAGAATCCATAGAATGAGGATAAGAATTATTCTAGTAAAATTCGACTATTGAAAGCATTGATATCAGAAGATGTTGCCATGGTCCAGGAGAAAATATTGAATGATAGAACATTGCAAAGACTACCGCAAGACTGATTTACAAGTCAGCAAGACTGACAACTAGTTTACGCTTTCTACATGATCATCTTCACATGAACAAAGTCTCTGCATGATGGGTGTCCCGTCTTTCAGCAATTCACAAACAACAACGTCTAAAAGCATCTCGAAAGCAGCAGTGTGGGTTTAGGGAGCTTAACGAACTCAGCCCAGGTTTACCAGATTTAATTACTATCCGTTCTCCAAACTGGAATCTGTCCTTTGTGGAAACAGATTTAATAATGAGGATGTGAAAAGAGCAGCTATGTAGAACATATTGAGGACAAACTTTCGAATTACTTTTTCAAGAACATAAAATTACTTATTAATGACCTGAAAATGCATAAAATACAAGGAGATCATACTGAAATGTAAACTATTAAAATTTCCTCTGTTTCTTTTGTATATATAAATAAGTATATCAAGCCGTAAAATGTTTGAATCCACCTGTAATTGATTTGGCAGTTCGAATCATAAACACTTAACGGTTTTAGTCCAGAAGTGCTTCATGCATTCTCAAGTTAGCAAAATTCCTTTTCATCTTGCGTCCGAAAAATCTTTGCGATCTTTACGCTGACAAATAGCAGATTATTTGAGCAAATTACATAACACATTCAAAGCCGCCCAGACGGTATAGTAGTTAGGGGAGTCGACTGCGATACCAATAGGGTCCGGGTTCGAATCCTGGAGAAAGCATAGTTGTAAATGTTCATCCCCTTCATAAGCGGCAAAGGTGGCCTACCTTTTAGGTGCCTCCATGATAAAATGACCACTACTTCTGGCCTTAGTAGGGGATAAGCCAAAGTCGGCTGAGGGCTATTCTTTTACGTCCTACCAAAATGACTTGTGAATTAATTTTAATTCCAATAAAACTGAATAAATTTTGTAATTACTTAGAGAACATTTTCCTAAATTAAGAAAATCTAAATTGCAGATTATTCTTCAGAATTGCTTTATACAAAAATGATATGTAATTTTTATTTTCTTACAGGTTATGAGATCACAACAAGCTAAAAGTCTATATTCAAATATTATACTGTCTATTTTCAAGTCACCAGTCCCATAAACCATCGCGGAGCATCTAAGGTAAGTAGAATTCTTTCAGAAAATTTTAAAAAATTGGGGTGAAAGGTCTCACTGCAAATTGTCATTATCATGGGAACGCTGTGAGTTTTCGCTTTAATAGCGCAATTATTAATTCTTTTGAACAATTACCCGTTAAATGATAGCACCAAAAGTCTCGAATTTAAATTCCGAAAACTAAATCCACTAATTTACCAAATTAATGAGCTTCACATTTCCGTATGGACATTCATTTTAATCTAGTATAAGGGAATAAAACCACTATTTTCCCATAAAGGATGTATTTAAAATTCCAAAATAAGTGCTCATTTGAATCTAATACACTTATATTGTTGTTGTTGTTTTTTTAGCTTAAAAGGGGATATTAGTGGAGAAACGGTATTTTGCGTTGAATCTCTATAAATCGCGTATCACTTTTCAGATTGTTTCCTCTAATTATGATCTCCCTGAATTATATTTAAAGAAATTAAGTAATGAAGAATCTGCATGCATGTATCAATGTTTCTCGCACTGTGAAAAAAGAACGGTACTTAGAACCATCAAATTTTGAATAGCGGAGTCCTCCACCCGAGCATGGGCACCTGGAAGCCCAATTTCGAATTTGTTTTATTATCTATTCATATTTTGTAAAGCTTTAACGAATTTTTGAAAGAAACTCAACGATTTCAAAGCGAGCAATGGCAATACCGTACGAAAAAAAAAAAAAATTATCTCCGGCGCATGAGACTGTCTGTCAGAAATTCTAAAGATATGCTGTTTTTAAATATTTTATGATTTTGCTGTTAATCGAATTCACCAATAATGTGATATTTAATAAATAAAGTAAATGAACGAAACGTTAATAATAAAAGGGACAAAGTTTTGTAAAGCCATTTGAATATTAAAAGTGAGCATTGTTACGATAAACTGAGAGAAGACTGAGAAAAACAGAAAAATGTATGCCAACACTTTACGCTGCGTTAGTTCTAAACGTATACTGCTTTGCTGATTTTAAAATTTCTGTAATTTTGCTGTCAAATTATAAATGGAGTCGAAAAAAATGCTTAATGATAAAGCTAAAAGCCAGAAAAGAAAAGGGTTAGTAGGAGTGAGTGAGTATAACAGAAGGAAACTGCGGGGTGAGCGAGAGCGTAAGAAATCATTTTGGACAACCGTTGACCGTTAAAATCTGAAGCTCTTCAGTTTTTGTTCTATATACTGCAGTGAAAAAGATGACTTGCCACTTGTACCCGAAAAAATATTTCTTCTAACTAGAAGTGAATAACGGAAAGAGTTTTTAATCTGTGAAATTTAATAAATAAAAGGGAGAATATATATGATTTGAGATATTTCTTCAGAGTATTAAAATGAAAATAAAATCTAAACTTAATAAGAAAGGAATAAAAGCAGGTATTAAGCAATAGTAAATATTTTAACTTAACAAATGGTGATCTTTTTTAAAAATATATGCAAATCTAAACCTCCTTTCGAATGTATCTAAGCTGAAAAGTTTTAAAGGCATTTTCACTTGCATATATATTTTATACTATATATACTTTTATATATATTTCGAAACCTTGACATTATGATGACCAGCTTAGTCGTATATTAAATCTCCTTTTTATCGGTCTTGAAAGTTTCTTGCACGTGTTTGTCTTATCTTGGCAACTGCCTTCACTAGACAGCGGAAGGCGTCCACTAGGTCAAATGGAAAGTGATGTCCAGAAGTTCAACGACATAATGACTCAATGGCGTCAGCTCGCAAATGCGTGTTCTATTTTTCAAACGCTCGTGCGAACGGAAAACAAGGAAGATTTAATAGCCGTCAAAACATCTCAGCTGTTTTAAAATGATCTCTCACTAATATATATATATAGTACATGCTGTATTGATATTACCTTATTAAAAGAAGTAAAATTCATTGGGTCATCATGAAAGGCAAGATTGAGGTAGCAACGCAGAGTCTTGCATCGTCACAACTTACCATTTATTACTAACAAAAGTTATATTCGTTAGCACAGAAATCAATAAAAATACAGAGATATATTAAAAAGTTTATTTTATCCAAAGTATTTAATTCTTTTCTTCTCCTTCTGTTTCTTCCATAAGTCTTTACCAAAATGCAAATTTTTTGAGCTAACCAAACGAGCTAAATTGGAATATGGGGAGAGTATAAGGGCACCTCAGTAACTGTTGGTCTGTCTCTCATTTAGCCGACCAGTACGCTGATGAATGAATCTTAGAACGCAAGATTAGAATCCCCGTTGTTGGAGCCAAGTTAACAAATTAAAATAAGATCTTGTGCATTACTACTTTAAATATTTCAATTCTTGAAACTTCACATTGTCTACTATTTACGCAAATTAAAAGAAATAATCAATAAAGCCTTTTACTTCAGATTTATCTCTAGTCTTTGAAACTGAAATTTAGTTAACCCCTGTTTAATTGCGAAGATAACATTTTGCTGGAAAAAGGGAAGTTAAAAAAATGCGATTAGGGGTCTAATTGTGTTTAACTTTACTATATTAATATACAATTACGTTTTGTCAGCTGTGTCGAGACTTTTGCAGCATTTTATTATGAATTATTAAATGACAGATTTACTCAAGATTCTCTAGTTATGAAATTAATAAAAATACCAGAATGTTCTAATGCACTACTACATTTTCCCTCTCTATCCGTTTTTCTCCCTGAAACAGTTTATTATGTGCTATTAAAAAGCAGATATACACAAATTTATACAGAAAAAAGAATCTTGCATCAAATAATGTTATTCCAATATGTGTTGCAAAAGTACGTACACCGGAGCAATGACTAAACATTTAAAACCATTTATTGGATTCATAGATCAAATTTGTTCTCTTATATTCATTTATGCCAGCTAATCTCCTAGTATATAGTCTTTAATCATTTTGTAATAACCAATTTACTAACTAGAAGCAATATCGGCAACTTAACATTTTTATTGCTATATATCAAGCCTTCTAACTAAGAGTTACAAACTAGTTAGAAATATCAATGTGTGTCATTTACATTTATAAAACGAAGCTTTGCAACAGCATGTCGAAATATTAATATATATATATTATTGACCATCACTCGGCATGCATAAATTAATAGATGAAACCTTTTAGTCTTGACTGATTTGCTGAAATGTCGAGTTTCATCCATCGGTATGTTAATATCTACACACGAAAATTTGTAACAGTTAGCTGATCACTAGTACATCACTAGTAGCATTTACATCTATATTATAAGCATATTATAAGGAATTGCAAAAAGCCTTCACTCATCTCATAAAATTCTGATCAAAATTTTGAAATTACATGCTTATGGTGGTAAACCAGTATAAGGTCATTCAATTAACAATGTAGGCTGTCAACGTAGATGTACGGATAAGAGCTCTTCTAAATGCGTAATAGATAATTATGTTGGCAACAATGACTTGTTCAGCTGACTAATTTCAGTTCACCGGTTCACACATCGCCAGTTCACCCTGGCTTTAGCCTGGTTTTATCATACCAAGTGGATAAAGTTTCCTAGAAGCTAGCAGTTAACCCTTTGCACAGGTGGCCTTTTTCACTCTGCCAAACCAGTTACTCGAGACAATTTTCCGGATATTTGGTGATTTCTTACAGAACTTAAAATGACTTCACCCATAATTTAAAGAAATCTAATGGTTATTTTATTGTCTGAAACTATTTGCGGTCCTACGGCTCTTTCGACGGCTACAAACGGTATTCTTTGCGCTATTTCTTCGGATTCTGCACCCGTTATCCCTTCTAAATTTTCTGTCTCTTCCGCAGAATCACTGTTGCTTTCACATTCACTATTATCCTGTTTGTTTGCTTTCTTAGACTGGTACATCATCGCTATCCTTATCATTGCTTTCCTCCTCTCTGTCGTCAAGTAGTCTATGCATAGATGAAATTACGTTCTTCGTCAAAGAAAAATATAACTCATCATCACTTGAACTGATTTCTTCGTCGTATTCCATGCTTATTGAGCTCCAGAACATTGAAAATAATATTCCTGTTACTACGACTGTCGAGTTCGAGCGAACGTCGAAGACGCATATATAACAATAAATCTAAAAAATGTATTTAAGTTTAAAGGTTGATAGTTATTTTATACTCGAGTGTCGCTGAATATACTTATGAAGCAATATTGTAGAAATCAAATCTAAAACAACATTGTTACCGCTCGAATTACTGCGCCAAATAGATCGCAAATCCTCTCTTGAGTTTCCGCATCAAACCAAATGATGACCCAGAGTCACCTCTCGAGTGCAAAGGATTAAATTTAATCATTGCCAACATTCTTGCTGCTGATTTGCATGACACAGCAATTTAGAGAGGTCGATAGCAAATAATGGTTAGTGCGAGGTAATGATATAGAGATTATAAGAAGTAGAAATTCAGAGTAAACAATTACGTTGTAAATGAATATTGACACCGAGACTTTCAAGTTGCTAATTGGAGCTGGCCAGTATACCACCGAGCTATATCAGAAGAATTTCCTAAATTTCTTACGATTGGCATTTATTTCACGATTAACACGAATTACGTATTAATAGCGATTGTACACGATAATCGAGATGGACTTCGTATTTCGAAATCTTTAAGTTACGTTGCATCTGATATTAGCTGTGCTGTACGTCTGGCCAACTTCGGACTTATTCTTATCCGTGCTGAGGGTCAGACATGTCCACTTTTCATTTCGGCGTACTGCAACATATCAGTAACACGTTTCTAATTCGTGAATATTTTTTTTTAATCCAATGTCAGGCACTTGCCTTTCAGGATTGGCCACATCTAAGGCCATTATTTTAGCCATATTATTTAGTTGTAGCCATTTTTTAGAGGCACCTAATAGACGGCCATCGTTGCCTCCTTTGAAGGTACGGGCAATTACAACCATGCCTTATCCGAGATTCGAACCCGAGCCCTTCAGTACCGCAGTAGGCTCCTCTAATCACTATACCTTCTGGGTGGCCTAATTCGTGAATATGATAAACATCTATT